TGGTTTCTTCCTTCCAGGTAGCTTACTTACTGAGAGAACAAAAGTGGTATGATCCCAACTGAGAAGTCTCCTAGGAAGAAATCATACGTGCTTAGTATTACCTCTTTGGAACCTAGCTTCAGTAAAATCTAAATGTGCAAAAGGAAGCTGAGGGGAGAGAGGATGTCATGCAATAGAATTTCCCCTTTATATCAGTTAAATGTATACAGACTATTCTGAAAGTACACAGTCCTTAGTAGTTTCCACTGGCAAGTTGTTCTGGAAAAGCAGAAGAGAAAAGAGGAAGCATGGCAAAACATACACACACACACACACACACACACACACACGGAAGTCAGACAACTCAGGAAAAGAAACAAATAGAAGACAAAAAAATATATGATAAATGAAAGTAAATGTAAAATAAAAACTAAGCCCTTAATAATTGAAAGAATTCCGTCGTGTTGTTAAATATTAATATTAATATTGTCAAAAATGACAAGACAAAATCCAAAGTCTTTTATGAAAATACCGTTACTGAAGTAAAATCTAATGGAGTTTCGATGGAATGGAATTACCAAGAAGATTGAACTTCCCAGACACATTTGTAAAGTGACTTATACAAATATGATAGGGAAATAGGCAGCTGGTTTCTACCTCCAGCTTGTCCTACCCTTTGGTAACCAATTTCTCAAAAAGATCCTTTCTAAAAAGCTTTACCTGCCTGAGTCACCTGAAGACTTTCCTACTTGTTAGCCCTATTTGCTGTCCAACCAAATCTCTAAATGAATAATAGCGTCCTGTTAAGTTTTTTTTTTTAATTTAATGGTGTTACCCTGTTTAAAAAAAAAAATGTGAAATAAACACGGTATTAAAAAGCTAAAGTTGGGGCACCTGGGTGGCTCAGTCGGTGAGCGTCCGACTTTGGCTCAGGTCATGATCTCACAGTTCGTGAGTTCAAGCCCCGCGTCGGGCTCTGTGCTGACAGCTCGGAGCCTGGAGCCTGCTTCGGATTCTGTGTCTCCCTCTCTGACTGCTCCTCCCCCTCTCACGCTCTGTCTCTCTCTCCTTCAAAAATAAATAAACATAAAAAAAATAAAAATAAATAAAAAAAAATAAAAAGCTAAAGTTGGTGGGGAAGGAGAAATATATTTTTTTTGTCAGTGTGAATGGACAGGAAAGAAATAGAAAAGTTCCTGTAATCCAATAGTATGATAATGCATCTGGAAGAAAATAATCTACAAGCTACTGGTAAAATGAAAAGCTCCAACTTATACATTAAAAACCAGAGGTAGACGGTTACCTATGGAGAACTATAATTTCTCAAGAGTTACTGTTTGCAGACAATCTCCTTTCTAAAAATGTCTATCACACTGATTTCATTGCTAGAATTGCATTGTTAGCTTTTATTCTCTTCTCCCAGTGTTCCCATGTAAAATTACAAGCACTGTTCAAAGAAGGTAAATGAATAGTGCTAATACCTTGGTAAGTCAGTCATCGTATTAAAAGAAGTTAATTTCCTTTATTAAGGCACTCCTTTGGCAAGCTACTGCTGGCAATTTTAGTCAAAGCAGTTGTAAAATAGGCCAATCAGACATATTGTAACAATGAAAGATTATAGGTGGAGCTGTGAATGTAAATGCAAGTTACCAAATAGGTTTAGTCAGTTTCAAAAAAAAATGCCAAGACTGGGAGAAAACAACATTGACTAGAAAAACATTTGCTCATTCTGTATATAGCAATATGTACATATTTTATGAATATGTGGGCAGGTTTAGATGCACTTGAATGTAATAAGCCAAAACAAACTGATGTCTAATGAATTCAAAGGAGAACAAGTGGTGTCATCATTAGGTGGAGAACAAGTAATAAAGGATAAAAGAGAAAAAAAAAACACCTCCTGTTGAAAATGGAAACAGATAACCTCGCAAATCTTTTGCTCCATGGATTTGACCACCCATGCATGCAATGTGGCATAACTAAACAATCTGGGAAAGTGTATATAGCTAGAATCAAGAAATGTTTAAAACAGTAACCTTGGGGCGCCTGGGTGGCGCAGTCGGTTGAGCGTCCGACT